AAACCATCTAAAGACAAATTTTAAACTTGCATCTTGTGTTTAATCTTCTGTGTATTTTAAAGTGTATTTTGTAGAAATATGTTTTAATATGTGTATTTTATAAAATATTTTAGATGATTATGTGTTTTTAACTATGTTGTAACCCACCTTGAACTATGAGGAGAGTCAGATAAGAAATAAAGATCATCATTATCATTAAAGGCATGAAGGTTGGGGGTAGATATTGCAGCTTGAACACTTTTCTGGCTAGACCTAGATTTTGCTCTAACATGGCTGTTTGTTGATGATGCTACACGGCAGATGATACTATCGCCAGAAATACATCAGAGTGGGACCACATTATTGGAACCACATTTATTACATATTTTTATTTCACACATTTGTATCCTACCATTTTTCCAAAGAGTCCAGGGTTGCTGATAGTGATATGAAACACACTAATAATTCACTGACATGCTATAGAAACTGTGGCACCCATATAACCTTTATACATGCTTTGTTATCATTTCTCAATTAAATTGCAAGCAAATGGAAGATTATTGAAATGGTCCTAGTTCACACCAAAACAAGCTATATCTTCATTGGTATAACCTGTGCATTTGATATGTCCACAAAGCATCAAATGCACAGCACACTGTTCTGTGAATTTAACTTTTGTAGTGGGCAATGCTGCTGGCCCCCACTTTCCTCGTTGTCTGTCACACAAATTATTATATAAGCATTTATTCATGGTATTAGAATAAAACATGCGACTCTTCTGTTGGGTATCATCTGTCATAATTGAATGCTTGGCTTTGATAGAGACATGGGGTAGATTCTCATGACACATTCTCAAGGGTGGCATATTGGTTGACATTCAATTCTTTTTTTCTTCAGGATACCCAAAGTGCGTGTTTTGGATGATGAAGGAGGACGGGAAATTGAGCTCTCCGATGATCCCTATGACTGTATTCGGCTTAATGTAGATAATGTCCCCTGCATTGTAACACTGAGCAAAGTAAGCATCTGAAAATTCTTGAGTGGTCTTCTCTACAGTTGTCTTTCTAAAGAGGTTGACTGCCTACATTTTTATTGTCACAGCAAGCTTTCAATATCAGACAAGGTTTCTCTAGTATACCATGCTCATTTCTCATTCTTTCCAAAGTAAAGTAGTAGGAGATGGAAGCAAAACTTGCATTGTTTTACTTGATGGTCAGAAGGTCAGAAAATAGATACTAGATCGGCCTGCTTGAGTAGTGTTTAACAAACCAGGTGCAGCTACCAGCAAGGCCCTGTCATTCATCTCACCTTAGATCAGTGGTTCTCAACCGTTCTAATGCTGTGACCCCTTAGTACAGGTCCTCATATTGTGGTGACCCCCAACCATAACGTTATTTTCATTGCTACGTCATAACTGTAATTTTGCTACTGTTGTGAATCATAATGTAAATATCTGATATGCAGGATATATTTTCAGTCACTGGACAAATTTGGCACAAATACCCAATACGCCCAAATTTGAATACTGGTGTGGTTGGGAGTGATTGATTTTGTCATTTGGTAATGCTGGAGTTGCTGGGATTTATAGTTCACCTAAAATCAAAGAGCCTTCTGAACTCCAATGATGGAATTGAATCAAACTTGGCACCCAGAATTCCCATGACCAAGAGAAAATACTGGGAAGGTCTGGTGGACATTGACCTTGAGTTTGAGAATTGTAGTTCACCTACATCCAGAGAGCACTGTGGACTCAAGCAATGATGGATCTGGAACCAAACTTGGCACAAATACTCAATATGCCCAAATGTGAACACTGGTAGAGTTTGGAGAAAATAGACCTTGCCATTTGGGAGTTGTAATTGTTGGGATTTATAGTTCACCCACAATGAAATAGCATTCTGAACCCCACCAATGATAGAATTGGACCAAACCTTCCACACAGAACCCCCATGACCAACAGAAAATACTATGTTTTCTGATGGTCTTTGGCGACCCCTCTGACACCCCCTCGTGACCCCCACAGGGGTTCCGACCCCCAGGTTGAGAAACACTGCCTTAGATGGTGGGGTGGAATACTTTAAAGATTAACATATGGATAATCTGATGAAAAAGCCATCAAGACATGCAGGGTACTTGTACTCATAGGTAGGGAAGAATATATTCACTCCTCCATATTCACTGAAGTTAGGGACCCCCACATTTTTTTTTACCTGGGAGAACACCACTTTAGGAATCTCTAGGTCCTCCAGGGCATTTCTTCTGGAAGTTGACCATAAAATCACCCTGGAGGACCTAGTTTCCTAGATATAACACATAGATGTCTATTGGTTCTTAATAGAAATATGTGTGTTTGTATCCTCAGAAGTATGTCTGTATTCACAGAAAACAATGCCTAGAATTGCAGCTTGAGTTTCTTGCTTGTTTCTTTTTTCAGATTGGTTATAGGCATGTAGTGGATGCCACCCTTCAAGAGGAGGCATGTTCCTTGGCTAGCATTCTCATTTCTGTGACCAGTAGAGGTACCATGACCTGTATGAAAAAAGTTGGAAGGGGGAGCCTTGATCCAGAAAGTATATTTGAGATGATGGAGGTCAGTGGTACTTGTAAATAGTGATATCATTCCAACTCTGGTGTGCATTTGATATGTTAGGATTTCTGGGAGTTGAAGGCCAAAACATCTGGGGAACCACAGGTTGAGAACCACTGAGATAGAGATTCTGAGAGTTTTAATACAAAAAAGTAACTTTCCCAAGGTTGGATAAATACAGACAAATTCAACATGTGGTGCATCTACATTGTAGAATTAATGCAGTTTGACACCACTTTAACTACAATGGCTTAATACTATGGGATATAGGAACCAAAGTTCTGCAAGATCTTCCCAACCTCTGAGGATGGCTGCCATAGATGCAGGTGAAACGTCAGGAGAGAATGCTTCTAGAACATGGCCATAGAGCCTGAAAAACCTACAACAACCCCTTTTGCAAGATATTTAGCCTTCTTTGCAAAATAGTGTGGTGCCTCACCAAACTATAATTCCCAGAATTCCATAGCATTGAACCATTCCATTTCAAAGGGACTGCATTAATTCTACAGTGTGGATCAGGCATGGGCAAATTTTGACCCTCCAGATGTTTTGGATTTCAACTCCCAGAAATCCCAGCCATCTTATTGGCTGTTAGGAAAAGTCCAAAACACCTAGAGAGCCAAAGTTTGCCCATACCTGGCATAGATGTAAAAAGGTAAAGGGTTTTCCCCGACTCTGGGGGTTGGTGCTCATCTCCATTTCTAAGCAAAAGAGCTGATGTCTGTAGACACCTCCAAGGTCATGTGGCCGGCATGACTGCATGGAGCGCCATTACCTTCCCACTGGAACTGTACCTATTGATCTACTCACATTTGTTTTTGAACTGTTAGGTTGGCGGAAGCTGAGGCTGATACTAACAGGAGCGGCACTCAGGGAGCATACAACCCCTCTGTTGCGCCAGCTCCATTGGCTACCAATTTGCTACCTGGCACAATTCAAAGTGCAGGCGTTGGCCTATAAAGCCCTAAACGGTTCTGGCCCAAGTTACCTATCCGATCGCATCTCCACCTACAAACCCACTAGGACTTTGAGATCTTCCGGGGAGGCCCTGCTCTCGATCCCGCCTGCAACACAGGCGGTTGGCGGGGACGAGAGACAGGGCCTTCTCGGTGGTGGCCCCTCGGCTGTGGAACGCCCTTCCCATGGACATTAGATCAGCTCCATCGCTAATGGTATTTTGGAGAAAGGTGAAAGCCTGGTTATTTGAACAGGCGTTTGAATAGGCAGTGCAATGAATATAGGAAAGGAACAACGGATGACGAGCTTGGATGATGTTTTCAGTTATGAGACGCCAGTGAGTTGTTATTGTCGTTAATTGATTAGTCTGTTATTGTGTTAATTGTTTTTAAATATCTTGTTGCATTGAATTTTTGCTGCTACTGTTAACTGCCGTGAGTCGCCTAGGGGCTGAGAACAGCGGTATACAAATAAAGTAAATAAATAAATAAATAAATTTGCATGTTTTCAGACTGTAGGTTGACAGAAGATGTACCCACAGACTAATTTAAACCAAGAAAACTTTGCTGTGGTTGAGTCTTACTATATGTTAAAGAGAAACACAAGACTTTTAAAGTTTTTCATTATTTTTTTAGTAAGCCTTTAACCAGATTCAAATGTAACTGTTTGCTGTAGGTTAGTTTTTGAAGCAATAGCATTCACATTTAAAAATAAACATAATCTATATGGTATGTTTTCTTCTTGTTAAAATTCTCCTGCGTCATGCTGTTTATTTTTTTTGTTTCCATGTGCATACAAGACTGGGAAGCGAGTGGGGAAATTATTACATACATCCTTGCAAACTATCTTAGAAAAAGAAGAAAGTCTTGGAACAGCACGGAAAAAGGTTGGATTCCTGGGATGAACTCCATCATTACACTGGTCTTCTTGAACAACAATCAAGGAGGGGGGTCATTTTTCTTCCTTCCTGTTTATTGGTTTTTGTTTTTGTATTGTAAAGATGAATATATTTTCTTAAATAAAGTTACGTGTTTTCTCTCCTCTTTGATTAATTGCTTCAAGACTGGTAACAGAGCACAAGATATTCCAAAAAAATTCACAAAAATGGAAGAGAATGTAATGATTGTGTCATTGGCAGAATACACTACTATATCACCATAAAATAATTAGAGAGTTGTGCATAGAGTAAAATAATGCTGCAGAGGTGAACTCTCTGTTTTATGCTGCTGCTGAGGAAGGTGTGTCCACTTTATTGGCAAGACACTCTCCAACACAGACATACAAAGCCCGTTTTCTCCAGACAGACAACTGCCTGCAAACCCAACCGGAATTGCTGTCTGGTCCATGAATAGACTTTGCCATGGAAGCTTTAGCCATTAGAGCTGGTGGAAATTTCCATGTGTTGCTGCGCAGTTACTGCCACGTTTTCTTTGTCATGCATCCAGAACAGCAATAAAAGGAAACATCTGTATTGCAAATTGTTCAGCGTTTGTCCCAGAAACATTTAATTGCTTTTGCTCAGAATGTAACATCCCAAGGCCTCATGGAATAAAACAAGCATTTCAATAACTCCTCAGGGCTTAGTAAGAAAAGAGAGAAAAAAGAATTAGTTCATCCATTTGACAAAAATGCTTTGCTTAATAGTTCCGTTATGAAATATTCTTCTGAAACAAAACAATGGTAATTATAAGGCAAATCAAGAGGACTGCAACGAAACCCCTTGAGAGCAGTTCAAGAAAACATTCGGGGTAACTGTCCCATAGAAACCTTTTCGGCTGCAGATTTTTGCATAAGAATTTATGTATTTATTTATTTATTTCAGACATTTATATCCCGCTCTTCTCACCCCCGAAGGGGGACTTAGAGCAGCTTACAATCGGCATTCATTAGATGCCACACAAAAAATAGCAATAAAATTACAATTAAAACATTAACTAACCAATAAATGAAAACATTCAATTAAAATCTAACAAATTCAAGACGAAGTCCACATCCAAAGTCGTAGTCCAAAGTCTGTCCGTTGTCTATCAAGGAAATAGTATACATTATTAATGCTGTGCCTGCTGCTCGAATGCCTGGTCCCATAGCCATGATTTAAGCATTTTTCTAAAGGACAGGAAGGAAGGAGCCAACCTGATTTCAATGGGGAGTGTGTTCCACAGATAGGGGGCCACCACAGAGAAGGCCTAGTCTCTTGTCCCCACCAGTCGCGCTTTCGAGGATGGTGGGATCGAGATCGGTTCTCTGGATTTCTCCCGATGATCTTAAGCTCCGAGATGGATTGTAAAGGAAGATACATTTGGACAAGTAAATTAGTCCAAAGTGCAGTATTTCAAGTGTGTTCAATCCACCAAATTACTATAATCAGGAAAAAAATGAATGAGGAACCATTCGTGAAATCGGTTCTCTGGATTTCACTTTTGTATGGTGAGCACTGAGAAGGCCACAGCTTGAATTAGACTGGAACTTTGAGAGCCAGGCCAGCTTAGGCACACCAGAATCCCTGCATTCAAAGATAGTGTTTTATGCCCGAAACGTATATGTACCTCACCATATTTAAAATAGGCACCTTCCATCAATGTTGTGCATTTTATGGAGATCTTAAGGTGAACCTATCACATAGAATTTTTTTTTATCTCTAGATTCATTTAGAGGGGGTTTGTCTTTGTCTTCCTCTGAGTAAATGTAATTTGATCAATATCACCCATAGGGTTCCATGACTAAGATGGGATTCAAACTGAACAATCAAATCACTACAGGTATATACTTACAGTTTGTATGTTCCTTCCTCCAGATCAATGCTTGGGAATTAATTGTAATTTACGTATGTCACCATCACAATTTAGTGAGTTCTAAGCTTAAGCAAGATATCCTCTTTTAAGAAGTAGATGGAGTTAATTTCCATAAAATGCAACTTTTTATGAATTTCTTGGCTGAATCAGACCTTCATATCAACACTAAATATGTTTACAGCAAAGTCCTGCCAGATAACCATGGAGGCTTCCAAGTAGACACAGTGTAAAGGGTCATCTTATTTTTTATAGGATGCTCTGATTGCATAAGTTTCATACCATTAATGCATGCAATAGCTGGCGAGGGATCTATTATCTGTGAATTTACCCAACCTTAAAATTAATTTAAACTTGGACTATCTGGTGGCAGCACATTCTGAAAAATTATGGAGTGTGCATGTGCTATCCAGATCAAGCTATTACAACCATATCTTGTGGGGTATATAAGCCAATTTTTGGCCCCAATCTGCATTTTTCCTGAGGCCTGAAGGGATCACCAATTTCCTTGTGGCCTTATTAAATTGTTTCTCCTAATGTGGAATCTGGCTCTGTCCAAACTAAGTTTGAAAAAGTATGTCCATAGGGTAAAGAAAACTGATGTTTGGACTACAGTTTGAACATACCCCCATGGGTTTTTTGTAGTCCTCCCAAAAAAATAACTATCTCTGGCCATATTTATTCATTCACTTTTATTCTACAGTTTGTCCTTATTATCCCAGAATAATCCAGAAATGTTGATATGGCTGTTGATTTACTGAAGTGGCATTACATGCCAATTTTCTAAATTTCCCCCAGGGCTGGTGGTGATACTGTCAGCAAAATTTTCCTCTCAAAATTGTTGGTGAAATCAATGTTCATTTATTTTTCTCCTGGTTGGGCAATAGGTCTGCCTGCCTTGGTCTATGACTAGAAATGTTTAGCCGTGCTTCCATATGGGAAGTGTTCCTGATGCAGTTTGTGATGTAGGCAACAGTACACATAGCCTTACGGCAAATAAAATGTGATCAACATTGATTAATCTTAGTGATGAGCAGATTTCAGACTGGTGAGAAGCCTATTGTGAATTTTGCAGGAATTTGTGAAATCCACTCACCATATTCAAGTGCAAAAAAACCACATGAAACTCTTCAGGGCCCAGAAGCACATAAAAGAAGGGTTTGCCTTATTTCACACACAAATTAATTCCTAATTCAATTATTTCTTCCCCACCCCTCTCTCTCACACACACACATATGTGCAAACTGTTATGTTATGTAGATACACACAGAGACATAATTCACATATATGTGTGCAATCTTTCTTCTGGGTGGGACTCAAGTGGCCTTCAAAAATAGATCTGTTCAAAATTATGTCTGCTCAAAAGTAGTCCATGAACCATTGGTTGTTGGTCAATAGCAAGCTTCCAAGAAACAAAGAAACCACTGTAGCCAATGAACACAAATATGGAATGCATCTCTGGCTTATTGGGTGGAAGGGGAATAACTGCCTTAGATGACTAGTAATAATAATAATAATAATAATAATAATAATAATTATTATTATTATTATTATTATTATTATTATTATTATTATCTTTATTTGTACCCTGCCACCATCTCCCCGATGACGACTCGGAGTGGCTTACATGGGGTCAAGCCCGAACAGCAATTACAATAAAGAATGACCGAACGCAAACCGAAAATGCAAACAAACAATATCATAATTACAAAAAACATATGAATATACAACAATATAAAATTACAATAAACACAAACGCAGTAGAGAATCTGCATTCCACCATTACAGACTTTTGTAACTCTGTGAGGCAGACTAGAAACTGTTGTGTTCTAGCTAATTACAGATTGGTTTGTATAGTGTCACAATTAAATGTAAAACAAAGTTGAGGAGCAGACTGTAAAATACGGAATGTATCAAGTTCCCAAATTTGTGGGCAGAATTTTAAGGAGCAAACAATTCCCTGTGCTAAATGCTTTCTATTTAGGTAAGCTTTTCACATATAATTTATGTGACAAAAATGGGTTTTAATGGGTGGTGTATTTATCTGTTTTCATTCCAATTTTGCATTATGTTTTTACAGAATTATAGAGTTGGAAGAAACCACAAGGGTCACCCAGTCCAGCCCTCAATTATGCAGGAATACACAATGAAAGCATTCCCAGCACATGGCCATCCAGTTTCTGTTTAAAAAAACTTCAAAGAAAGTTTTTTTAAACACACTGAGGCAGCATATTCCAACACACTGAGGCAGCATATTCAATTACCAAGCTCTTACCAAGAGGATTTTTTCCTAATGTTTGGGTGTAATTTCTTTTAATAATAATAATAATAATAATAATAATTATTATTATTATTATTATTATTATTATTATTACTGTCACCATACCAGGTGACAGCCATATTGAGGAAAAACAACAAGAAAAACACAGCCGCTATCAAGACCTCAAAATCGAACTGCAAAGGCTCAGTACAGGTGGTCCCAGTGGTCATTGGCACACTGGGTGCCGTGCCAAAAGATCTCAGCCGGCATTTGGAAACAATAAACATCGACAAAATCACGATCTGTTAACTGCAAAAGGCCACCTTACTTGGATCTGCGTGCATCTTTCAAAAATACATCACACAGTCCTAGATGCTATTCGACTTGTGATTTTTTGATACGAAATCCAGCATATAGATCTCATTTGCTGTGACATACTGTGCTTTTGTGTCAGTAAAATAATAATAATAATAATAATATAAAAAACATTATTTATACCCCATCCCATCTTCCAAAAAGGGACTCGCAGTGGCTTACAACCATGAAATAAAACATATTAGATAATATAAACAAAATACATAACATCAAATTAAGATAAAACAAAAAAAACCAACAACAATCAATAAACAATTCTTATATAAAAGCATTTTGAACAACATTTTAAAAAAATCCCAGCCATTGCTATGGTAAAATAAGCCATAAAATCTGATTGATCATTATTGGGTATTCTTATATTTTTCCATTGTCGAAAGTCTGTTTTAAAAGCATGAGTGTGTGGGCTTGCCTAATCTCCCTAAAGAGGGCATTCCAAAGTCAGGGGGCTACTATCGAGAAACCTTTCTCCCTCATCCCCACCAACCACACTTGTGACTGTGATGGGACCATGAGAAGGGCCTCCTTGGCAGATCTTAAGGCCTGGACAGGTTCATGGGGGAAGATACAGTTGCATAAATAAGCTGGAACCGAACTGTATAAGGCTTTGTAGGTAATGACCAGTGAATCTGCTTTAATGGGGTGGGGAGTACGTTCCCTATAGTTTGCTCCTGCCAGCAGCCTAGCCGCCCATCTTTTTACTAATGTATGAGGATTATCCAGAAAGTAAGGTTACAAGGCATGTAGCTCTTGTGGGAAATTTTCACGGGGAAAGTTGGGGTCAACCCTTCTGTTCAAGGAGCTCCACTGGCTGCCGTTTATTCTCCGAGCCCAATTTAAGGTGCAGGTGCTTACCTACAAAGCCCTGAACGGTTTGGGACCATCCTACCTGCATTACCGCATCTCCGTTTACGAACCCACGCGTTCATTTTGTTCATCCGGAGAGGCCCTGCTTGTGATTCCGCCTGCGTCGCAAGGGCGTTTGGTGGGGACACGAGAGAGGGCCTTTTCTGCGGTGGCCCCCCGACTCTGGAACACCCTCCCCAAAGATCTTAGACAGGCCCCTACATTGGCAGTCTTTAGAAAGAACTTGAAGAACTGGCTGTTCTGATGTGCCTTCCCAGAATAGGAAACCTCCAATACCAAGTACCAGAAGCACTTTATTAGAACTAAGATTGCTGCACACTGCACACTGCACTTACCCTATAATCCTTATATACCACCTGTCACATCAGCACTTTTAATTCTGTACCCATTACTCTGGCCCGGCCCAGTTTTATTGTGTTTTGGTCTATTGTTTATTGTTTGTTGTTTAATATTGCTTTAATTGTTTTTAATTTGCTTTAGGTTTTGTATGATTATGTTGTGTATTGAGGCCTTGGCCTTTGTAAGCCGCATCGAGTCCTTCGGGAGATGCTAGCGGGGTACAAATAATAATAATAATAATAATAATAATAATAATAATATCACTGCTGTGTAGTGGGAAGCCAGCAGAAGTGAACGAGCAGTGCCAGTCGTCAGTAGCTCATAAACTGGTGTTGTGATGAATTACTAATTGGATTTCAGCTGCTTCTCACACCTCTAGAAGACACCTTAGATCCTGTATAGGGAAACACATTTGGAAGACACTTTAGATCCTGTAAAAGGAAAAAAAAAGTGAAATATAAATTGTTTGGGTGAATAATTATATCAACTTATTGGTATAGCAACATAAACCTGAATCCTATAGTAAATCTCAACTAGGCTAGACCTATTGAACTGTTAGGATTTGTATAAATGTTAAAACAGCATTTGGTTCAGTGGAGCCAATTTAGATGACATCAATACAGCACACATGCTTTACTCCAGGCATCCTCAAATTCTAGTCCTCTGGGTATTTGGGTTTCCAACTCCCAGAATTCCTGACCATTGAACAAGCTGGCTAAGGCTTCTGGGTGATGGAGACCCAAACAGCCGGAGGGCTGCAGTTTGAGGATACCTGATTTCATCTTTTCTTAACATGGCTCTCCTTAGGACTCCTTATGCATATAGCCTTCCTGACCATTAGCTACCTTGTAAAAGTGCAAATGTAGAATAGAAATCTTAATATCAAATGAATTATTAAATGTCTGTAGACCATATTGAAAATGAAGGTTAGCTGAAAAGTTGGCAACTTCAAAGTCTGGGTAACAGTGAAAAGATAGCAGTGCCACACACTGTAGTCTCAATGAATCAGTAGGCGACAAAAAAAAGTTCAGCTTTACTTATTTTAAAACTAAGCAAGATCTAGGAAATGAAAGAAAATCTACATTTCTAGACACACACCCCATGTTTATGGGAGAGTTTGAAAGCCTTAAGGATGTTGGATCTTTCCCAACAGTCTTTAAAAATATCCTCCGGGCACTGGAATGCTACAGAAGAATCTGGAAGGGTTTCTTGGCAAGACTTTTTGGTCAAAGCCTGTGTTAAGAAGTCTAGCTCAAGGCAGATCAAATCCACTTCAGCTTCACTCCCATCAAGGATCACAGCAGCCAGAAAATGCTCTTCCAAAGAGTTTGCTTTCTTGTGTGCTTGTTTTGTATGGCACAGATGACAGCTCAGCAAAACACCAAACCCAAGAAAAAGGCAGACCCCAGGAGAGGTAAAACAGGCAGACACCTTGGGGAGGGGGCATTTCTCCATTGGATAGCGATCTCTTTTTATTTTTAAAAATGTAATGTGTGGAAGTGGTTTAAAAACTTCTTATTTTCTGTTGGATTGTACTACCTTGGTCTCACCTGGTCTTGGAAACTGAACCAGATGATGCTTGGTGAGTACTTTAGATGAGGAACCACAAGAGAGAGCATCTCCTGTTAAGGCTGGAAAGAAATTCTGCCTTGAAATTCTGAAGAGCCACTGCCAGTCAGAATTCACAAAACTAGGCTGAATGGATTAATGCCTAACTTAGTATATGGCATCTTCATTTGTTTCTGGTCTAATAGAATACTCTTATGTTCTATTGTTTTTTCATTATATTATTTTGCAACTGCTTATTTTATTTTGTTACTTTATATATCCTATGGTGATGTAATTTTTCATTGCTCTGTATTTTATTTTATTGTGTATTCGGGTTTGACCTCATGTTAGCCACCCTGAGTTCCCTTTGGGAAAATGGTGGCGGGGTATAAAAAAAACCCTTTACTAATGTATTGTCGAAGGCTTTCATGGTCGGAATCACTGGGTTGTTGTAGGTTTTTTTCAGGCTATATGGCATGGTCTAGATGCATTCTCTCTAATCACCTCTCAACAAAAGTTTGCTCAAGGTACTGTCAAGCCATTATATGCTAATCAAGGTGGTCAGCTGAAACATTCACACCTAGCTCCAGCAGACAAGAGTCCTTTGTTTCACCCTGGTCATTCTACAGATATATAGACCCTTTTTCCTAGTTCCAACAGACCTCACTACCTCTGAGGGATGATTGCCATAGATGCAGGCGAAACGTCGGGAGAGAATGCCTGTAGACCATGGCCATATAGCCAGAAAAAACCTACAACAACCCAAACTTTTACTAAATTAGCAAGTTATATTATGAGATTTTTTTTTTTCATGTCAGGGGCAACATGAGAAACTGCAAGTTGCTTCTGGTGTGAGATAATTGGCCATCTGCAAGGACGTTGCCCAGGGGACACCTGGATGTTTTTGATGTTTTACCATCCTTGTGGGAGGCTTCTCTCATTTCCATGCAGGGAGAGCTGGAGCTGACAGAGGGAGCTCATCCGCGTTCTCCCCAGATTTGAACCTCTGACCTGTCAGTCTTCAGTCCTGCCGGCACAAGGGTTTAACCCATTGTTATTTTGAGATGGTATTGTGTGCTAAAATCTGCAGTTTGAAGTGTTTGAAAACAGATGAACCATTATGAGTTCATCTGACCAAATTAGCTGACATACAACAGAGAGATGCACAAGAATAATCTGCGCAGAATTATATACCAATTTGCTAAAACCACAGAGTAGATTCCTATATTTGCTTCTGTGTTTAATCTTTTTGGCTTTCAGTTCTTCTCCTTCACTGACTTACACTTGGCACACTCAAAGGATTTTATGGAAAGAGGATATTGCCAACATTTTACACATGAAGAATGCAGGCAAAAAGAATGAATAATTACTAGTATGTTCGTCTATAAAAATTAATTATGGAAAAATCCCTTGAGAATTTAAATGGGCTTTGTTATCTTTTGTAGACGATTTGAATTAAATGGTGTTTAAAGGGATTTAATGTTCAATCCCTGGAGTTGGGAAGAGTTATCAGCAATTACCAGAAGGCATTCAAGTCATGCTTATTAATGTTCCTTTTTAATATATAGCTGTCTCTACCAAATATCTTAAAGCCTATGGCTAGAATAGATGAAAATGTACTTGATAATTTTATTCGTAGAGAAAAATATGTGCTACTATTAATGGGAATTGGAAAAGCTGCTCATGGAATATTCGGTGTGAGAAAGCATGAGTAACAGATCATTCACAAGTGGAATACATCTTCATTTGTTCCTGTTTATCTTTTCTACAAACACAGAGGCAAATGCAAAAAGCTACACACAGATACACATATTATTTTGAGGTGTCTCTGTGTGTGGGAGGGGGTGATGCAACAAGATTATTGTTCTTGTTGCATCAAAAGAACAGTTGGTATCATTTAGTTTCTGCAGCTTCTTAGTTAGAGCAGGACAAATAATGCAAAGAAGGAAACCTATTTCAATATATGATATAATATAATGTATATACATGTAATTGTATATACATGTAATATTTATAATATTATAATGTAATACAATATAATAATATGATATTATTATATAATATATATACCATGTAATATTACTAATAATATTAAAATATAATAGTATAGTACAATATCTATATAAATAAAAATGTAATGTTCGTTTGTGAGATGAACATAACTCAAAAACCACTGGGTGAATTTACACCAAATTTGGACACAAGACACCAATCAGGCCAACGAGTGACCATCGCTCATAAAAACACTGAAAAACACAGCAGAAGACACTTAAGAAACCAAAAAAATTACATTACAACACATGCACAAAACCACATATGTACACATATACACACAAATACTGATATACACATATACACAAATATATACAGAAATACACACACATATATGCACACACAAAACATACATAGAAAGAGGGAAGGAAGGAAGGAAAGAAGAAAGGAAGGAAGGAAGGAAGGAAGGAAGGAAGGAAGGAAGGAGGGAGGGAGGGAGGGAGGGAGGAAGAAGGAGAGAGAGAGAAAGGGAGAAAGAAGAAAGAGGAAAGAAGGAGGGAAGGAGAAAGGAAAGAAAGAAAGGTAGAGAAGGAAGAAGAAGAAGGAAATAAAAAAGTGAAAGAGGAAGGAGAAAAGGAACAAAAGAGAGAAAGAGGGAGGGAAGGAAAGAGACAAGGAAGGATGGAACCAAATAGTAAAGGAAGTAAGAAAAGAAACAGAGAAGAAAGAAGAAGGGAAAGAAAAAGAGGGAGGGAGGGAGGGAGGGAGGGAGGGAGGGAAGGAAGGAAGGAAGGAAGGAAGAAAGGAAAGAGGAGGGAGAGAGGGAGGGAGGGAGGGAGGGAGGGAAGGCTGGCCAAAGCAACGCGTGGCGGGTACAGCTTGTAGTAATATATAATGCTGATATTGTACTACGCTAATAATATAATGTAAGCCACTCTGAGTCCCCTTCAGGGTGAGAAGGGTGGCATATAACTGTTGCAAATAAATAAATAAATAATAGTGTCATAGAAATGGTTCACAGGCATTCCCAAATCTTAGGCTCATGGTCACAGTTACTGAAATCTGGGGTTGATCCTGAGCATTTCTCCTTTGGACCAGCCTCGGAATCCATGGAACTGTTCAGACTTTCTGCCTCTGAAACATGGTAGTAGAGTCCAAACCCTTCAATCAGGCTGAACCCAAGACAACCCCACTGGACTGTCACCCTTACCTGGACTTTCTTCCCTGTCACCATAGCAGTCAAGAGAGAGCTCCACACATCTGCAAACCCATCCACATGACCAAGGAGAAGAAGGCGAACGGTCTGCTTTCTTTTCCCTGGTCACATGGGCAGCTTTGCTGATGTTGGTGAAAAATCCTGCAGATCTCTTGGGAAGACAGGCATGCAAATGTCAGTGTTCTAGAAGAAGCAAAGACTACAACATTGAAATGATATTCCTCTGCTATCAACTTTGCTGGACTGGCCATATTGTCCAATCTCCGATCACCATCCCCCAAAGTGATTACTCTACTCTCAGCTCAAGAATGGAAAACAGAATCTTGATGGACCGCAAAAGAGTTTTGAAGATGGGCTTAAAGCTAACTTTAAAAAATGTGGAATAAACACAGAGAACTGGGAAGCCCTGGCCCTCAAGTGTTCTAACTGGAGGGCAGCTGTTACCAACAGTGCTGTGGATTTTGCAGAGGAACAAATATAAGAGATAAACATGTGCATCAAGCAAACCCTTGTCGGAACTGCCTTTCATCTGGAAATGTATGTCTTCACTAAAAAAAAAAGGTCATGCAGATCCAGAATAGGTTTCTATAGTCATTTGTTCACCCAACACCAATACTTTACCCCTGGAAGACAACCATACTCAACCACGAGGAATTGCCTATGATGATGCCACACTAATCCCATAGTTTAGGGCTACTTAAAAGTATCACTCAAACGTCAAAGCATTTTCTGACTTTCCTGACACAGGATGAAATCAAGTTAACCGGTTTTACCCTGCATTACTGATTAGAATTCCCTGGACATCCAGGAGTAATATTTGGTTGACACTGGGGTATTGGGCCAGTATATACAAGTCTTCATAAGTGGGGGATTGTATGGATGTTATTGGAATGTATCTCCAATGAGTTCTAGCTAACATATGCCAGCAGTAACAGATGATGGCAACTGCAGCCTAACAACATCTGGAAAGCCACAAGTTCTTTGTTTGACTTGAGCACAAACTGTCATAATAATTTAGAGTAATTTTTTAAAGAGAAAAAAGCCACCAGCTGGTAATTCTTCCTTACGTTCCACTTTACTACATTAAGTTCATGTGTCAGTTTTCTGACAAGGTCTCGCTTATATCAAACGGTGATTTGAAGCAGAAACAGCAAATGATTATAGCACTTTACAGCTGTTTATTTTTGTCCTTAAGTGCATGTTTGACAAAGCTGTGAAGACAGAAAACTTCCCGCCAACAGCGATTGCATAAATACTACTCACATTTGATAAACAGGCTGTAGAATTGCAGCAATCATTATTGATAAGCCACCCTTTTGACACAGGTGTAATAATAATAATAATAATAACAACAACAACAACAAAAATTACTGCAAACTCTCCAGAGACAAATGAATCTTACTTAAAACAGGGTTCAGATATGAGTGATTTCTTACAATTAGAGCACAATAAACTACATGTTTTCATACACTGTTGTAATGATTCTAACCTGGTAGGCCGAAGGAGAAGCCTGGAATATCAGTGGGCAGGCCTCCATTTTGGGAGTGTCAGCAAAAGGAAGCAGACATCTTGGGAGTGTAAAAGGAGAAGAGGGGAGGAGCTGAAGCTCTCTTTTGATTGGTTAGGACAGATGGGAGGAGTTTAGCCCTGAGAGGGAAAGTGTCAGCTTCAAAGAGAGCAGGGAGATTGATTTTTGGGTTTGAAGAAAAAGGATTGATTTTGGGAACAGAAGAAAAGAGAGGAGAGGTAGATTTTTGAGCTTAGATTTTTCTGTCAGAGAGCATTTGTGACAGGCAAGGCTGCATTGTTGGCCAGGGAGGTCAAAGTAGTCACCTGGGTGCTTGTGTGGGTTTTTACACAAGTGGCTTACTCTCTGGGTTAGAGTAGATTAGCTTATAGAGGACTCTGCTTAGACTGTAGCTAATTGCTCTGGGGACAACCTGTTTAGGTTAGTCTGGGGAACTCACTGCTACTGTGTTAGGGTAGAGTGAGGAGTTTTACTCGTATCTAAGTAATTTAGGTGGTGGCAGCGAATCTACCAGAGTATACACGTTACCTCTTCTACATATATAAACGCTCCATGCCAGAATCATATTCCTTTACATTTGTGTCCAGTTATGGGATTAATATCTAAGATCTCTTAAATTGGTGATCAGCAGCGTGATTTAGAATAGCATTATAGGAACACCATTGTCAGGATTCTGATTTTATTATAAATGTGTTTTCATGAGAGAAAAGAAAATAGTAATAATTGTGTGATAAAGAGTTACTGGAGCCTGTTAAGTTAACTAGCAATAACAGTGGTATATAATTTTCCCGGTGCTTTGCTTCTCTGACTACAAAACATTCTTATCACTTGCCATTTATTTTTTTTTGTGGGACATCTGTCCCCTTTCTTACCAGATAAAACAGGTACTGTGCCCTCTCTTATGTCAGCTTCACTGGCTGCCGGTCCACTTCCAAGCACAATTCAAAGTGCTGGTCTTGGCCTATAAAGCCCTATATGGGTCCAACCCAACTTAGCTGTCCAAACGTGTCTCCCTCTATGTCCCGCCTCAGAATTTAAGATCGTCTGGGGAGGCCCTACTCTTAGTCCTGCCCTCTTCGCAAGTGCATTTGGCGGGGACGAGGGACAGGGCCTTCTCGGTGGTGGCCCCCTGCCTGTGGAATGCTCTCACTAGCGAGGTTAGGTTGGCTTCATCCCTCCTCTTTTTTAAAAAGAAGATCAAAACATGTTTATGGGAACACGCATTCAGACAGTAGGTTTGGCAGCACTCACAATGTTTGAACTGACAATGACAGGCTTTGGACTGAGTCGTTGGTCACTAAATCAGATTAAATTTATTTTAATCTAATGTTTTATTGCTTGTATAATGTTTTTATGTATGTTCTGTATGTTGTTGGCATCGAATTGTTGACGTTGTAAGCCGCTCTGAGTCCCTCTTCGGGGGTTGAGAAGGACGGAGTAGAAATGTTGAAAATAATAAATAATTGTCAGGGACAGGAGAACATTTGGGCCTCCAGATATTTTAGCCTACAACTTGAACCAGCCCTACCCAGAAAGCCTCAATTGAGGACATTGTTCAAAACATCCAGAGGGCCAAAGGTGTTACACTAGAGTCTCAACCTCACTCATAACCTGGCCATTGACTACTGGCCAGGATAATTCTGGCAGCTAACATTTTTTAAAAAAAAGCATTTCCATGCTCTGGACCTAGCAGAGTTATAGCATATCAGTGTAGTCATACTGTGATTTGAAAGTAAATTGTGCTGGCAACATGTAAAAAAGACGTGATTTTGTATTAATAATATCTTCAGGGCTGCCAGATGTCCCTGGTATTCATACAAGTGTCTTAATGAGATCAGGCGCATCACTAGCGTGTTTAAAACCAAAGCAGTCCAAAACAGAAGACAGTGAAATGGGGGCATTGACACTAAAAGTATACACAGAGCAAAGACAAATGTGTGTAAAAAGAATTTGTGGTGAAAGAAGGGTATTTTGAAACAACATTTATGTACAATGAACCATCAGAAAGCAAAGGTCTCACTATGTTAGCCACCTGTGTGGACAATATTAGATTTTTGCGCAGTTTGGAATTCTGTATGCTCAATCTGTATTTGAATGTAAATAGTAGGCATGGTTAGGTACCGTTGGAATCTTCGTAATTCGGAATAAATTAGGAAAAAATTACCTTTTCAAAGCGATTTTGAAGTTTTTAAGAAAACCGGAAGTCCCTTTGCCCTTCTGAAGGTTTTTTCACCATTTTGTTATGACTCATGAAGTGAGTTGGAAATTATTCAGCTTTTCCCTGCTTCTGGTCCCTGGCCTCAGCTCGAGCCAGAGAAGCCAGTTTAAACCAGAAAAGGAAGGAATTTCCTGGCCTCAGCTCAAGCCAGAGAAACCAGTTTTAAACCAGAGAAGTAAAGAATTTATTCTGCTTGCTTTTCCCTGCTTCTGGTCCCTGGCCTCGGCTCAAGCCAGAGAAGCCAGTTTTAGACCAGAGAAGGAAGGAATTTCCTCCGCTTGCTTTTCCCCGCTTCTGGAGTAAAACAACTACTTTCAAGTAAAGACCACCCAATGAAACAGGAAATAACACTTTCAAACAATTAATTAATGAAAGTCTCTGAAGTCTCTGAAGTTTCAAAAAGTTGACTTTAGAATCAAACCACCAGCTACATCCGAAACGAGTTTTGAACCTTTTTTTTTTTTGCTCAAACAAGCCTAGTAAATAGAAATTCTAACTGATATCTTTATTCTCCCAACAGATGTCGTAAGCCTCAAAATGGTTGAGGATCTCAAGGAGCAGTTAGAGAATATCTCCCAGGAGGTGGCTCTGCTAAAGGAAAAGCAAGCACTTCAAACAGGTATAAAATCTAAGAACGAGAGTTTTCACACACCACAAAATTGGCCCAGTTTAGACAGTAATTAGAGTCAATGGGCTCTCTCAGGTGCAAAACAAAGAATATCTACTTTCTTTTTTTCTAGTAGCAACCCCATATGAAGATGGCATCTGTCGAGTCCAATGAGTGAGTAGTTTACCAGGCAATTAGAAACAAACAGGAGAAGAAAGAAGGCAAAATAACATTCAGATGAATGGGGATTTTGATGGAGGTCTCTTAATACTTTTCCCTGGCTCGATAGTCAAGAGCTTAGAGATAACGGGTCCCTTCCACACAGCCATATCTGCTTTGAACTGGGTTATCTGAGTCCACACTGCCATATATTACAGTTCAAAGCAGATAATTTGGAATTTTATTCAGCTGTGTGTCACTTGCTGTGGGTCAGTTGCAGACAGAGCAGGATAATACTGCTGCTCTCTTTCCCTGTTTTCTCTCCATATTCCTAGGAGTGCTCTCTATCTCCCAGATCTCTACAGCCCCTCTTCTTTCTATGTTTTTCATACCTCATCAGGGACAAAACTGGAAAAGCTCCATGCTTTCCTCCATGGAGCTAGGGCTCCAACTACACTATATGGTCAGTGTGGACGCATATAATACTGTTCAATGTTGAACTATATTATATGAGTCCACACTGACCATATAATGCAATCTGAAACTGCGTTATATGGCTGTGTTGATGGGGCCTATGTTGCTCAGAATCACACGTGATGTGCCTAGCTCATGAACACACACCCTTTATGAATGCACAGATATACACATCAGTTTTGGAATGGCCAGCTCTATATCTGGAAACAATACTTTTTGGAATGATAGAACTATAGAATTCAGCTCAGATAAGGCCACTAGGCTGTTACTGAAACATATTTTAATTAATTAATGTGATTTAATGTTTTAAATGTATGCAATTATTGGATTTTATTATGTGTTTTATTATGTGTACATTGGAGGCATCGATTTGTTGCCAGCTGGAAGCCGTCATGAGTTGTCCGTCCCCCGTCCCCCCCTGGGGTGGGGGTGGGGGGTTGAGAAGGGTGGGATACAAATATCTGAAATAAATAAATACATAAATAAACATGTCTAATTGTACAAACAGGAGCTTTTCTCACTTTCATAGTTTGCAAATTTGCCTGTTTTCCTTGATGGCTGGGCTTTCTTGGGAAGTCTAATTGCTCAGGCATGAAGCTTTGAAGAAATCACACAGCTGCAGGAAAAATATGTTAACACTTTTAAATTATATCAGGATCTTCTGTACTTTTGCCTGCAGGGAGCTGGAGCAGTGAGGTTTAAATCTCTCCTCCCTGCCTACTTTGATCTAAAGATTTTTGGTGGGGAACAATGTCTTATCCAAAATCTTTGAGACCAGATGTGCTTTGCATTTGGTGTTTTTTTTATTTTGGAATGCCTGGATTTGGATATACATACATAATGAGGTATTTTAGAAATGATGTCGAAGGCAAACATTACATTCTTATATATATCATATATAGTTTATACACATAGCCATAAGGTAATTAAATACAATATTTTCAAATGATCTTATGCATGAAACAGAGCTTGTGTGTATCGAACTGTCAGAGAACAAAGGTGTCACGATCTCATTTACTCATGTGGATAATTTCAGATTTTGGACTTATGGACTTCAGCTTATACAGAACATGAAGCTATTTTTAAGTATGCCTTTCTCTGCTAGACCAGGGAAGTGGGACATGGGACTAGTAATTGTTCCATTTCTGTCTTCACAAATTTGGTGGCTCTGCTAGAAATTCTCAACTTTCCAAAATCAGATCACTGGAAGATGGGAAAGACTTTCACCTTTTGCATTTCTTTGGGTCCTCACCCTAACTGAGACTGGGGCGAACGAGAGATCCTGGTTCTAAAAAACAGGATCCCTGCTTCACCCCGTTACTGAAATTCTCAGCCAGTGAGACAATGAACATGTCTTTAACTGGAAGTACGCAAGGATTACCTGTGACCCTGTCAGTATGTGTTGTGCAACCCTTGGGCCTTGGTAGCCATCTTACTACATCAACTTGGAGACGTCTATCCATGCCACTTCCTTGGCCCCTTCTACATTCTCCTTATATCCCAGGATCTGATCCCAGATTAACTGCTTAGCCCAGATTATCCAGCAGTGGAGACTCATATAATCCAGTTCAAAGCAGATAACCTATGATCAGATCCTAGGATATAAGGACAGTGTATAAGGGGGCCTTGTGCCTTGCTACCTTCTCACTTGTCCTCTCTGAAGCCACTTCCACACCGCAGGATAAAATTCCACATTATCTGCTTTGAACTGGAATATATGGCAGTATGGACTCAGATATCCTAGTTCAAAGCAGATTTTGTGGGGTTTTCTGCCTTGATGTGGCTGCATGGAAGGGCCCTGGGTGAGGTAGGAATATCAGCAGCCCAGGCCTGTAGCCAGGATTTTGATTGGGGGGGGGGGGCTGAGTTTGTTTGGGGCGGGGCTGAGTCTGAGTGAAAGAGGGTCTACCCTAGCAAATCTTTTGTATCATTACACCAATACCCACAGGCATATGGGATATATTGAGATCATGATATGAATAAACATAACAGTTTAAATAATGCACCAGTAAGGCCTTTTCGCGAACCACCATGAGAATTTGGGGGGGCGGGCGGGCTGAAGCCCCTCAAGCTCCCCCCCCTTCCCCGGCTACATGCCTGCAGCAGCCTTTACTAACCACATCCTTTCTGTCTGGCTAGCAGCACAGTTTGGGCTAGGAGCAAAAGGAGTGAGTGGGCATGAAGGAAGAAAGTCCTTTTGAGGAGCATATTGAAACCGTCTTTCCTAAGATGCAGAGTGACCACCATTGCATACTATAAAATGAGGGAGGAGGCAATGTATGGCCCTGTTGTTGGACTTCATCTCCCATCAGCCCTAGCCAGCACTGACAGTGGTGAATGATAATGAGGCTTGAAGTCCAATAACACCTGGATGACCAAACCTTCTCTCATCCTTGGTGTAGAGTAATCTGGGCAGAGGCCACTAGAGGGTGCTAAAGAGAGAAGTCTCATCCATTTGGGGGGGGGGATGTTGAAGGAGGAAAACCATTTTCCCCATTTTCACTGGTTATTCCCCTTCCCCCTTCCAATATCATAAACGAGGGTTGTTTCCACGATGAGGAAATGGGTGGGGGAAATAACAGGAAAACACACCCACCACCCCCATAAAATGGACTATCCTTCTCTCTCTAGCACCACCTTGTGGCCTCCGCCCAGATAATGGAACAGTACCAAAGATACTGGCAACATTCTTCCTCCCTAGTTCTTCTAACAGCTAGCACCAGAAATTGCAACATTATACTCCAAAGCAGAGTATTTCTTTTCTGTTGAGACTTTATCTCCGCTGACTCTTACGTTTTCCTCTCACTAGTTTGTCTCAAAGGTACCAAGGTGAATCTAAAATGTTTCCTGGCTTTTTCGAATGCTAAGACCTATCACGTGGCCAGTGAAGACTGCATCTCACAAGGCGGCACCCTTAGCACCCCACAGACGGGAGATGAAAACGATGCTCTCTATGACTACGTGAGGAAGAGCCTGGGGCCCGAAACAGAGGTTTGGCTTGGCGTGAATGACCTGGCAGCGGAAGGGAAATGGGTGGACATGACAAGCAACCCCATTCGTTATAAGAACTGGGAAACAGAGATCACAACCCAACCGGATGGTGGGAAGCTCGAGAACTGTGCTGCGTTGTCGGGGGTTGCTGTTGGCAAATGGTTTGACAAGAGGTGCAGAGACCTGTTGCCTTATGTCTGCCAGTTCATGATTGTTTAATAGTGGGGCACCTGATGTGGAAGAAAAGGCCAAGGCACATTGTTTGACACTTGGGCTAGAGTTGTGTGTGCACATGTACATGCACAAATTGACAGACATATCTACAATATACACACATGCAAACACATATACACAAACACATACTCTTGGCTTAGTAATGGATTAGAATAAATTATATCTAATTGGCTGAAAATATCAAAACCATAGGCAACATGTTTCTTACTAAGGCTTAAGTTATAGACAGAGATATATTTTTACACTCAAAATGTATTAGGATGGCTTCAGCATGTGAGCAAAATTTGAACTTTGCAAAAACAAAAAAACCAGTAAAGTACTTAAGATGCATTAGTTTGTTATTGCATGCAACATTTCTACATTCCTCTTTTTCTTCCAGATGATTGCACCAAAGTAAATCATATTTTGTTCAATTGTTCTGGTTATCATCTCCTTGACTGAAAAGCTGAAAGCACATTTATCACAGCCTGCTGCTATTGTTTAATGTTTTGCATTCCTAAATTGCCAGCCCAAATGAGTCCTTTGAAATGGGAGGGTTTAAAAGTTTCCTCTGCCTCAGCTATGGTATTATTATACGTAGAATGCCAATTAAAAGGAGATGAGAGAAAGAAGGCTTTAAAAAAACCTTTCACTCTAAAGAAGAGGGCTGAGGGAGATTAGCATATTTTGATGAAAGGGGTCACTATTATCGCGATGCCAGGGCTCTGCCAATATTTAGGCAGAGATGAATCAAACTCCCAGTTTGTGTTAAACAATTTAATTAAAACAGCACTTACTTTCTGGCTGTTTTAATAGTCCAGAATATAAAACATAAAGATTGCACCCAGCCACAGAATATAAAACAAAAACAGCAAATACTGTTGCAGGTTCAAGATGACTCCATAGTCAAATGGTCCAGACCAGTGGTCAAACGATGAGAGTTCAATAAGCAAAGTCCAGGGATCAAGAGTCTATACCGTAGTCAAAAGCCAGTCCAAAGATTCAAGGTTCCAGGATTCCAAAGATTCAGGAGATAGGTCAGGACACCGAAAATCCACAAACCTGGGGGAAAACCAGCAGCATCTACCATCAAAATAAGATAAATACTTTTCTCCCAAAGAACAGTCCCAAGGCTAGCTCATTATATCCAGAAACACCCAGCTGCAACCTATCTCTTGCATACCTCCACCCTTAATTACTTTCACCCATGAACTCTTACTTACAGATTACTCAACCCTTTAGAACTAAGACTTACATTAACCCTTCCATCACCAGTTGCTAGTCCCACCACCACCAACCATCATCAACTACAGAACATAATACATGACAACTATATCTTCCAGATGAAAATATGATCAGAATTTTGAGAAAAGATAACAAAAAGATGAATGAAGCATGGGTAGGACTAATCAATAGGAAGAAGTAAACACAACATTGTTCCATGTGGGATAAATAGAGGATGCTGGGAGGTTACTTTGTACAAGGTAGCCGGGGTGGTAATTTCTATGCATCTCTAACACTGAAACAATAACACTGTTCATGAAGTACTCTCTGCCACAGCAAAAGTGGATCACTCATCTTCATTCTATATTGGGTCTTTGCAATAGGATTTGTTTCTTTGCACACCTCATCACTTGCATTCACAGAGTCCCAGCTGACTGAAAGTAATGCAATAGGTTTCTATCTTAAACGAATTGAGAAAATAATGAGTGTTGTAGCTCCTGTTTTTGTAACAGATCACTGAACTGTAGCAGATCTTCTGCTGAAGTCTATGAAAGAGATGCCTTAGTTGGCTACTTTGCAATAAAACATAAGATAAAAATACATTTCAGATATGCGTAGCTGGTGGTATATAGTAGAGTCATCTATAAGTGCTTACGTTTGAGATTGTCATTGCCACTTTCTGCTGAGATAACCAGCAAATCAATAAATAAGACTTGTTATAAATATGGTTTTGATTAATTTTTGTGATGCATCCTTCAGAGTAATCCATCAGATAGAACATATCAAGGTAGCATCCAAAATCTATGATCCCTATGTTCAGTGTATCTGGCTAAGATGTTCCTCAAAAACGACCCATCTGGAATAACCTGGAGTTTAAACTGACTGACCCTTTTATTTATTATTATTATTGTGTCTTGGACCACGAGAAGATCAAACCAATCCATACTCCAGGAAATAATGCCCGTCTGCTTACTGGAGGGAAGGATATTAGAGGCAAAGATGAGAAGACAGGAAAGCTTGGAGAAGATAATGATGCTGGGGAAAATGGAAGGAAAAGGGAAGAGCGGCCAACCAAGAGCAAGATGGATGGATGGTGTCCTTGAAGTGACTGGCTTGACCTTGAAGGAACTGGGGGTGGCCACAGCCAACAGGGAGCTCTGGCGTGGGCTGGTCCATGAGGTCACGAAGAGTCAGAAGTGACTGAACAAATAAACACTTGTTGCCATTTTCCACAATACTTTAAAGCCAAGATGAATTCATCCTTTCAGTTCAGGGGAGTGGGTTAAATCTTCTTAAACCCAACAGCCCTTGTGTGTTTTCCATACTCCTGCAAGTTGAAGACTGTTTTCTTAAACTTAAAACAGAGATCTCTAGTCTGAAAAATCATCTAAAGCAGGGATAGATTACTTGTGGTCTTCATGGAGGTGCTGGGCTCTGACTTCTATCATCTCTGACTACTTCCCATGCTGTTGACAGAAATCATTTCATCAGCTGCAGGTTTCCCTGTTTTAGAGTGTGTATCACCTACCCAAAAGTGTGTAGGGTACATTTTGTTCAAGTCACTATTCCAAGCTGAAACAACACACAGCTTTGCCTTGGAGGGCACATAATTTTGTGCTACATCTCCATTTGGAGTCCCTGAATGACTCACTTCTCTGACAAAGGAGACAGCCTGCTATATTTCTACATGATGTGATGTCCTTATTTTCCTTCCAGTTTCTCTTGGCTAAGAGTGGATAATTCTCATCTGCTTGCATATAATACAAAGTAGAAAAGGCTAAGCATCTATAACCACAACACAGACTAAAAAGAGTGTATCAGTGCAGAGTATATAAAAGAGTGCTTTGAAAGCAATTTTCCTGCTCCTTGGCAGGGGGTTGAACTGGATGGCCCATGAGGTCTCTTCCAACGCTATGATTCTATGATATCAACATGCATGTGTAAACCATAGCAGGACACATAAAAAACTAGGGCAGCGTTCCTCAACCTGGGGGTCGGGACTGTGAGGGTGTTTCAGAGGGGTCACCAAAGACCATCAGAAAATATATATTTCTGATGGTCTTAGGAATCCCTTTGGCAGAGAAGGCTGAAGATCTCAATGTCTCTTTCTTTTTTGGAAACAAATGGCAAATCCTCCCACCAAAAGCTCTTGTCTGCTGTGATTGGCTGGCCTCTCAGCCAAGGGGAGGGCTGTTTCTGAGACTCCAAGCGGGGAGGGGAGAGCAGACGTGTTCCGCGCATGGCAGCATGGTGTGCATTTGCTAGTGAGGGAGAGCATGCAAGGCTAGAGGGAGGCTCATGCTAGTGAGTCCTTTCAAGGCATGGGGGTCCCGTGTGGGGAGTTTGGCCCAATTCCATAATTAGTGAGGTTCAGAATGCTTTTTGATTGTAGGTGAACTATAAACCCCAGCAACTACAACTCCCACATGTCAGCATATATTTTCCCCAAACTCCACCAGTGTTCACATTTGGCCATATTGTGTATCCGTGCCAAGTTTGGACCAAATCTATCATTGTTTGAGTCCTCAGTGTTCTCTGGATGTAGGTAAACTACAACTCTAAAACTCAAAGTGAATGCCAACCAAACCCTTCCAGTATTTTCTGTTGGTCATGGGAGTTCTGTGTGCCACGTTTGGTTCAATTCCATTGTTGGTGGAGTTCAGAATGCTCTTTGACTGTAAGTTAACTATAAATCCCAGCCACTACAACTCCCAAATGACAAAATCAATCCCCAACTCACCCCACCAATATTCAAATTTGGGCATATCGGGTATTTGTGCCAAATTTGGTCCAGTGGATGAAAATACATTCTGTATGTTAGATATTTGCATTACAATTCATAACAGTAGCAAAATTACAGTTATGAAGTAGCAATGAAAATAATTTTATGTTTGGGGGTCACCACAACATGAAGAACTGTATTATGGGTTCGCGGCATTGGGAAGGTTGAAAAACACTGAACTACAGGCTCATCAACATAAGGCAGTTTAGCCTGATGTAAATCTCTCTCAGAGCAACCATGGATCCAAGATATATTCATTGCTTCTGCTCCGAGGTGCTTTCACACACACACACACACACACACACACACACACACACACCTCACTCCTAACACCTGTCTATAAGAAGTATGTCTGCTGAAGTCAGAATGTGACCAACAAGGTCCCTCTCCTTCTTGCTGGTCATATGGGTGCCCCATTCTGACATCAGTAGAAGTCCCCATGATGGACAGGAGCTTGGATGGATTCTATGGCTAGATGGGAATGGCAACAAAACAGGCACTATCCCTCTCCCTTCTCTGTGTGATGGTGGCAGGATCCAATTGGAAAGCAGATCAGGCCAAATTAGAACAAATCCTGCTGCCCAGACTACCACAGGCCCCTGGACATTCTGGAGTTTCCAGCAAACTCTGAAGTATCTCCAAATTTTGCCAAAAGTGGAGCACTGAAGAGTAAAACAGGAAGAGAAATGAACAGAGATGGAGAAGGAAGGGGAGAGAGCAACATTAGCAGCAATTTTTCAATGAAGAGGTACTGACTGAAATAAGGACAGAAACAGAATAGTTCCAAAATAGATTGGTAGTTCATTCCATTCCCTAATTCATAACGAAAAGCATCTAAAGAAGGAGCCTCCATCATACTCTGGGGCAGTGAGTTCCACTGTTGAACAGCTCTTACAGCCAGGCAGATCTTCCTAAGATTCAAGTAGAGTCTCCTTTCCTCTAATTTGAACCCATTGCTCTAAATCTTATCCCAAAACATCAAGGCAGAAAATCCCACAATATCTGCTTTGAACTGGGTATCTGAGTCAACACTTAGATAATGTGGGATTTTCTGCCTTAATATTCTGGGATATAGGGCTGTGTGGAAGGGCCCTTAGTTTTCAGGGCATCAGAAAGCAAGCCCACTCCCTCTTCCTTATGACATCTTTCGCATATTTATACATGGCTATCATGTGTCCTCACAACCAGACCCATAGCCAGGATTTTGATTTGGGGGGGGGGCTGAATTTGTTTCGGGGGGGGCTGAGTCTGAGTGAAAGAGGGTCTACCCTAGCAAACCTTTTGTATCATTACCCCAATACCCCCATGCATATGGGATATATTGAGTATGGTGATCAGATCATGATATGAATAAACATAACAGTTTAAATAATGCACCAGTAAGACCTTTTCGCGAACCACCATGAGAATTTCGGGGGGGGGGGTGAAGCCCCTCAAGCCCCCCCCCCCCCCCCCCGGCTACATGCCTGCTCACAACCTTCTCTTCTGCAGCCAAAACATCTTTAAGATGTTTCCAGATCTTCAATCATTTTCCATCAGGATACCTTCCAGCTTTGTTTTGCCTCAGGAAGTACCAGAATCAGTCTGGAGGGATCTAGTTTGGCTCATTCTTTGGGCCTCATCTGAATTTGACACATTTCCATACATATCCATTTAAAATTTGTGTTTTTATGTCAGTTATGTAACTTGGCATGAGTTGGAGCGCTGTTAATATGCAGCATAGTATTGGCAACAGCTGTGTAACTACACTGATTTAGAACTGTGTAAGCAAATGATTTGGACACAAATTGCAGTTTCCCATCTGAGCAACAAGGGGAAAAAACAACAACGATCCAGTTAGAAAATTAGGGAAAATGTGTTTTACAACACATTCCCCTCCCAACATCTTTGTTGCCTTGGCACTATAAGAGGGTTTCGCAAAACCAGTTGCTGTTGTTGTTGCATGGTTTTGAGCCAATGGCGTAGTAATTGTGAGGCTGCAGACCATATTTTAGTTCTTGGGGACCACTGGTGGTCCACGGACCACAGGTTGGGAACTACTGCACTAACTAGACCCTGCAGTGTAACTTCCAAATAGCATTGTTAGCATCGTGTCCCATTTTGCTGGCTCCGTTTTCTTGCTAAGGTCATTTATCTCTCCATTTTTCACTGAACATTTCTTGCTATCACTTCATAATCTTTTATTTTCATTCAAGTCCACAAGCAACACAGGAAAAGATGGAAGAGAAGATGGTTGGAAAGTAGCCACAACATAAACACAACTGCTGGCCTTTTGTGTGTGTGATGTTTGGGCCTTGTTCAAAATTCTTTTTTTCACGTCCAGGATTTTGGCTCTATATAAAATAGATTAGATGGGACTTCTCCAAAGCAAATGGATCCCATCTGGACAGCATTGGCACAGTAATCATCCTGAAAGATGTGAATATTCTAATATCTAGACCAGGAGTCCTCAAACTATGGCCCGAGGGCCGGATACGGCCCTCTAAGGTCATTTACCCGGCCCTTGCTCAGGGTCAACCTAAGTTTGAAATGACTTAAAAGCACACAACAACAACAATCCTATCTCATCAGTCAAAAGGAGGCCTAATATGAAATACTAATATGCTTATATTTGTTAAAATTGTTCTTCATTTTAATCATTGTATTGTTTTGAAGTGTTTTTGTACTACAAATATGATATGTGCAGTGTTCATAGGAATTAATTCATTTTTTTTTCCAAATTATAATCCGGCCCTCCAACAGTTTGAGGGACTGTGACCTGGCCCTCTGTTTAAAAAGTTTGAGGACCCTTGATCTAGACACTAGAGATTATAACATCTGCAGCTCCAGGTCCTAGATCTGGATTAACTAGTAGGTTAGTTGTACCATACCTTTAACATTTCACAGATTAAAACTGGGACAAGTGTGGCCTAGCAACATCAGAATGTGGTCATGATGGCAA